TAAGTAATCCTATAATTTTTTGTTTATAGCATAGTTTATACAGATTATTCCCAAAAAATTATACGTATTTTGGAAATGTTGAGTGGAATTAGTCTAGAATCGGTTAATTTTATAGAATAAAACCTTTCAAACAGCCTTAGTCCGTAAAGTTCCTACCGATCGGGCTGCGATTGGCTCATGTATTTAATCGTTCCTACAACGTAATTTTCGGTTAGCGTGGAACGTATCTAAGCGTTATAGGGGGGTCTACTGTATATAAAACATGTAAAATAAATTTTTCTTAGGAACTAGATAAATCTATATACACATATATAAATAAATTATTGTTGATTTGTTGGTTTGGTCTTTGTACATATCTATTCCTAAACCGCTGGGGACCAAAGTTAGTACGAGTATTAGTTATAACTTGGAATCGGCATTAAGCTATATATATTAACGAAAACTATTCTATGAGACCGCCATTTGTATTTCCCGGCTCTTTTATATATAATAGAATGTTAGTATGTCCTTCAAGATATTTACATTTTTGTACTTAGGGGACATTCAAATATGAAGAAATGAAAAAAAATCTGAAAAATTTTTCTATAGGTATGGATATTAGTTTATGTATTTATGGGGGCACGATTTTGTTTACCCTCTTCGAAACTGAATTAATAACTCCTGTGGTTTTTGTCGAAATTTCTGAAATTTTGCAGGGCGATTTGTGTTTTGCGCGGTTATTGCTATTAAATTCTTGTGGTTAATGGTCACGAGAGTGGTAGCGTGCTTCTTTAGAGTGGAATCTCGGATGAGTGAGTTTAGTTTTATGGGATACAGCAACTCAGACTTCGGCCATTTGTCAGAAAGGATGTCCATAGGCGAAGTTTTTATACAAAGTTGGTTCCTGTTTACGTTAGACAGGCGAAAAGGATCAGGTAAACTTCAACCCGTCGGTCCTGACCAGATGCGACTTGATTTAGTCCTTTGATTGATTTCATAGCAGTACGTTCTGAAATCCTACAGATCATGTGTTCTTTTATGGCAGAACTACAGTCATTTTTCGGTAAAATAATGCTTGGCTGCATACACTTAGTGACACTTCCCAGAAACGTTACTGTCACATTACCACGCTTCTATGGCCTGCCTGGACTGTCGATTTATCACGTGCTTATAGAGCAGCGAGATTTTCTGGGACTCGTGATGCCTGACGGTATGTCGTCATCTCGCTAAAACTTCTCACTGTATCTACGTTTGCAGTGTGAGAAATGACATTCTGAAGCGATTACCCGTTAGATTCGACTGTTGTCACTTTTCACCTCAAAGTGAAAACAACTCGCATGGCCACTCGTTAATCTAACCACCAGTCTTAACAGATAATTTTTTCATCAATGCTTTTTGTTTCATATTATCTTTGAAATCATTTCATGTCCATGAAAATCTCTCATAAATTAAATCATGTGTTTGTAGACTATTGGTAGACACATAATTTAATTTTTAAGTATAATTACCAAAGTTTTAATTGCACATTACAAGAGGTTCCTCTTATGATTCACTCATTTTTTTCTGAATTCTCAATTAAATATTTCAATATTTAAAATTCTATGCTTTATGAATGTACTGTACAAACGTTAGAAACTCACTAGTTTAATTAACTAGCAATACAATGTTCTAATGCGCTACATTTTTATTGATCTACAACAAACACAAGTATATACTTAACTAAATTTTACAGACTATAGGCCCAATATAAAAAATGGTACTAATTTTCCTATAATAAACTAACTCATTATTAAAACTGCCGATTACGTTATTTAGTTATTATTTAAAACCAACAAATACAGCTTATCTTTACTTTTCTTTATTTATCTGCGGTTTTAGAAGACCGATGTTATTGCTGTTCGGTGAAATATTGAAATACTCCCATAATTTAATCTATTTTTGCTGTAAAGATATCAAATTTTTTAGATATCATATTTTTACGTTATTCCAAAAAATTAATCGTCACATTGAGTCAATAAATGCAAAAGTTGTTTAGCCTAAACCGGCAATTTTATTGAGTGGAAACTGCCCCTGTCATCGAGCAAACTTGTAAACTAGTTGATATTCGACGTTAAATTTCTATAGTGAGCTGAGTCGATCACGACCTCACCAAATGTTCGACAACTTCTCACAGAATACTAGAGCCCCTGTTTACAGCAATATGGCAACCTTCTTGCTTGTCCTAAAGTAATCTCTTTTCGATATCCATGTATCCATTCTAAAAAATTCTTTTTAATAATGTAACTCTTTCTAAATACGAACTGTTTGAGTAAATTAATAAATGAATTGGAAATACCCCACATACTAAGTTTCCACTATACATTCCAAGTCTACAAGTAGGCCTACATGATCCAGATGTACAGTACATCTATCATTTGATACCAATTAATGTTTTTTAGTTAGGTCTCCAATTACCATTGTCATGTGACATTGCAATCTTCTGTCAACAAGATCGACTAGGATACTGTACTTTTCACACTTTCATCTGTCTTGTCTTCTGTCGGTACACGGATATTAATTATTCTTATGTTGGATCATCTTCTCCTTACCCTCAACCATAATGTGCGATCAGTAACGAATTCCATCTGCAGGATGTCGAAGAAGTATTCATTCTTTCAACCCTGTGCCAAACTAATGTATATTGCTTCCTCCATACAATATTGTGCTCTGCTCACATCTGAGACTTCCTCCATCTGCCCATCTGATATTGTGAAACAGTGCAATGTCTAAGTTTATTTCTAAGCTTTCAAGTTGTGTTTTTTAATGATCCCGTAGCGTATAGACTTCGTACATTTCATGCCTCAAGTCGAATTACATGTTTCCATTTTCTTGTGGTTGCAGCAATTTGATCACTCCTGTTTTTCGATTGTCTGTACACTCAATCTCTACGCTGTAGAACCGGCATGAGCCTTCATAACTATAACTTTAGCAGCAATTTTAAAAAGGAGACAGCTTTTCAAAAATGTTTGCATATGTTTAGAATCTCTCTTATAATTAGAAAAAAAATTTGAACAAATTGCGTTAAATTTATCAAAATAATTCTTATTTATTATTATATTAATATTTACACTTGTATATATTAATTTTTAAAATACAACATTTGAAATTTAGAATTCTGAAATATTTTACTGAATGGGGGATGAATCCATGTTTTTGGTTTTCTCCAATTTTTGCCATGACTAAAATAGGAAGAAATTTCAAAAAGGACGTAAAAATAATTCACCAGTTCGACAAAAAGGTAAACGTAGATTAGGAATTCAGATTTATATTTTAATTTACAGTATAAATGGTTGACATTTTGGCATAGGTATTCAATAGCAGAAAAGAAAATTTTGTGAAAAACTCTCCCTTGGATGATGATGCATTCAACGAAAAGGAACCAAAAATGAAAACAAAACAGTTTCTTGTAAATTTACTATTAGATCTTCATCTCAAAGGTTTAATGTCGGAAGAGGACGTTATAAGAGATACAGAAGGTGCCATTTTCGCTGTATGTATTACTCCATATTATTATAACAGAAATACCGGTGAAAATTTGTATTTATACTTTATACTATGTATATACATTGTATATATACTCTATACTATGTATATACATTGTATATATACTCTATACTATGTATATACATTGTATATATACTCTATACTATGGGTTATATACATTAAGCCTCAGATAAGTACAAAGTTTCATAATATTTTATCATCAATGATCATCTGCTATAGTCAAGCGGAATTAAATATCTGGAAGGTAATTTAAAACGATTTCGACAGAAAACAGAAATATCATTGTACGCATTTAAAAACCATTGTAAAAGTTGGGTCTTATATTAGAAACTTACAGCCAATATATGTGTGTCATTCGCACAATGTTAAGAATTGTGGCTAAGGAGTAGGAAATTATTAATATACTTATTTGAACAGAAAATAAACCAGCAACGAGTTGCTGAAATTTTACGGTAACATTTAGAATTTTTGTAACACCATCATTTATCATATTTTATTAAATAACTTTGCATAACTTTAAATACCGTGTTATTAAATAAAAAAGCTTACTTTTCAGAGTAGGGGTTTATAAAATTTTGTAAATGTTATAACCAGTAAAATCGTCATTAATTAAGTTTTACCCTACTGGATGTACACATGACCTCCATTATCTCCCCACCCTCTCGATCTTTAATTCCAAAATTTAACAGTATCGATATCGATACTGTTAAATTTCGATATCGATAAATCGACCTATCGATTTCGATATTTAACAGCATCAATCCACCCTAATATACAAACCACCTTGCAAAATTTCAGAAATTTCCACAAAAAGCACAAAAGCTTCAAAAAAGAAAAAAACTTGTGCCCTTTCACACACGCATACAGAACATACATGCACTAACACCCATACATATAGAAAGCCCCCAATTTCTTCGCATTTCTCGATATTTCAAGGCATCCAAGTCCAAATATGTAGACAATTTGACTATAGGATATGACATCTGTGAGCTGCACCTGCAACCAGGATGGTTCATTGTCACAACAGGATGACAATCCTGTTTGTGTTTTATTTTTTTAAATAAGAGTGAACTCGAAATAAAAAAAGCACAATCCACATTGAAAGAGCATACATTATTGTGACAGCCTTACAATTCTCGACTTAAAACTTTTATGTATTTCATTTTAAATATATGCTCTAGATTTTAGTAGTGTGTTGCACTGTACAGTACATCCTACTTTTCTTGCTGACAACATTGTCATGCCAATCATCAATCTAACTCCATTCTGCAAAACATATTCAACTGAAATAACATTATTCATTTTAGATCAGAAGTTCGTATATCAACGCCTTCTGTCCTTAATCTTTCATATTTGGTCTTCACTTTCATATATGTATCTACGTTACATATATGAAATAAGAAGGAAAGAAAAGTAGACAGGCGCCAGTGTGAATTGATAAGTCTATGTTTTAAAAATTGCTGCCGAAATATAATGCAGAATATACCATTATCAGCATAATTCCACCCTATGACATCTAGTCAGAAAGTATAGAAAAAAATTATAAAGATTAAATACCAAAATTCCACTGTAAGTAATTGTTATCTTGATTTTAATGAATTTTGTTATTAGGGTCATGACACAACTGCCCATGCTATGTCCTGGACTCTATATTTCCTGGGAAGATTTCACGATATACAGGAAAAAGTGTATTTGGAATTAAAGAGCATTTTTCATAATGATACGAATAGGAATATTACTGTTGATGACTTGATGAAAATGACGTATTTAGAATGCGTAATAAAGGTAACTTTTTAATATTTTTAAATATATCTAAAGATTGGTTTTATGTAAATTTTTATATATTAAACTTTTCAGGAATCGATGAGAATCTATCCTCCTTTTCCTGTCATTGGTAGGAAAATTTCTCATAAAATTACAATAGGTTAATATTACTATTTCACTCTGTTGTTTCTATTAATAATCCCTCGGTTTTAATATTACTTTGTCATTATATTACTAAAACAGGTGATTATGTTTTGCCATCACAATCAAGTTGTTATATTTACATCCATGCCATTCACCACAACCCTTCTGTTTATAAAAATCCAGAAGTGTTCGATCCTGACCGCTTCTTGCCCGAAAACTTCAAAAGTCTTCCTCCTTACGCTTTTCTGCAATTTTCTGCCGGTCCACGAAATTGTCTAGGTAAGTGTTTACTTGCTAAATTGAAAAAAAAAAAACAATAGTTTTTCAATAAATTTATTTGATTACAGGAAGTAAACTTGCAATGATTAAAATGAAAACAGTTTTGGCAAATGTTCTACGGAATTTTAAAATTCACTCTTTGGATCCTCAAGACAAGATCGTTATGTATTACGAAGTAGTCATGACCCCAGTATCAGGTATTAGAATGTGGGTAGAAAACAGATAAATTAGAAGCTGAAGACAAGAAAGAACGTTAGGATAATTTTTATTACATATCTACTTGAAAATATATCAAATAATCTAAGCAAGTATAGTTATAAAAGAAACCCATCGCTTTGGTCTTCATTGTATATCGTTATTACACAAATATATATTGTTGTTTGGAACCTTGTAAGCCATATCAAAGTGGTTCTATTCAATTGAAGATTTATAAACTCTTTTTTGTTTATTAACATAATTTAGGAAAAATATAAGGTAAAACTATAATCGTAAGTAGAATGAAATTTCTATAATTGATAATCGTATAAATATTAAATTTGATTATTTGCTAAAAATAATAACAGTTATATGTATTTTGTGGATGAAATGCCTATTAACTTTCTATTAAAATAAAAGTTAAATTGCAAACTCTTTGTTCACTTCAATGTGATATAATATGCAAGTAATATGCAAAATTTTAATAAATTAATCTTGAAATCTAAGTATGGAAGGTTTATTTTGTATAAGTNAGGTTTTAAACTCTCAGCAAGAAACAGAGAGAAACAGGAAATAAAAAGCAAATGTGTGTCTGTGTCATTTTTACCATTTATCTGGAACTTTGTGTTTTCTCAAAAGAACAGAATTCAAAGACAACAATTTCGAAACAAAGGTAAGTTTCTACTTTGTTATTGGCTGATTTAATTATATGTAAGTAACTTAAGTAAATTTTTCTTTCCTCCATTTTGAAGCTGTAGTAAGTACAATACTTGGAATCACTACGCTATTTCCTAAAGAAAAAATCGTTCGCATTAATATTTTTGGATTCAAAGTATTTATTCTCACACATCCGGAATCTGCTCAAGTAATTAAACATGCGTACATCTGTATTAAACGTTTTATATCAATAACTGAAAATACATAATTTTTGCAGGAAGTGTTAAAAAGCAACTCTCTAATCCAGAAAGATTTTTCTTACGACTTCTTAAAACCATTTCTGGGAGAGAATAGTCTTCTGTACAGGTAATGTATTACTCTATGTTTAATTAAAATGTAATTGTTTACAGTTTTCTAAATTTAATTAAATAAAGTTCTGATGATAATTGGAGAAGAAGAAGAAAATATTTAGCTCCACATTTTCATCTTTGGAATCTGAAAAATCATCAAGACGTGTTTATGAAACATTCAAACATGTTAATCATGAAATTAAAAAAATTGCAGAATAATGAAGTATTCAATGCCTTGAAATTGATGAAATTTTGCGCTTTAGATATAATTACAGGTATGAATACGTAATGTAAAATATGTATTTAAAGGTAATAAATATCAGTTTATATTTATATAGAAGTTACATGTGGAGTCTCTGTGAATTCTCAGACCGAGGGTAATCAAGAGTATCTCTCTGCATTAGATAGGTATGGAAAATTTACTTCTGTATATAATGTATTCGTTTTGAAAATATTTACAAAATTCAAGTTTAAAATGCATGTAAGATAATTAGTATAAGAGGGTGGACCCAAAAAACCGGATTTTTTGTATAAAAACTTTATTTATTCAACTTTTTTACAAAATGTATTCTGTCACCTTCAAAGTACTCTTAGATGCGATGCACTTGTGAAGTCTTTTTCCCCACTGTTTGAACACCTCTGGAACTCTTCAACCTTGATGTCGTCCAGTGCCCTTAAGCGAAGCTGTTTTTACTGCCTTCACGTGATCAAAACGCTCCCCTTTTAGATCTTTCTTCATTTTCGGAAACAGAAAAAAGTCGCACGGGGCTAGGTCTGGTGAATACGGAGGGTGGGGAACGACAGGCCATCCCCGAGAGGCCAAATAGTAGGTCACTCGTAAAGCCGTGTGTGCGGGGGCGTTGTTGTTATGAAGGAACAGTCACCTGATCGCCAAAGTTCCGGGCGTTTCCTTCACACATCCTCTCGCAGATGTCTTCTCAATTTTTGGCGGAATTTTTAAACGTTTTCGTCGTTTCGAGATTTTGAAGGACGCTCAGAACTTCGCAGGCAGAACGAAACAACAGTAAGAGAAACAGAACACTACGCTTAAACATAAACCTACAAACTGACGCCGTTTGCGCAGCTGTTTCGTGAAGGTCTCTACTAACCCCATGTAACAAGAGAACTCTCTACTACGTCTACGAATGGCAGCGCGCTCTCAGTTCGGTTATTTTTTTGGGTCCCCCTCGTATAATGAAATTTTCAAATTTTTCAAAAAACGTGAATATTTGGTTCAAGTTTAGTAAATCAAATGCCCATTCAATTGATGTACACTCACTCAGCATTAGTATATAAATAAAAAACACTACACCTTAATTTGCTGAGAAAAAATTTAATCTAACGCAAACGTTTTCAGCCAAATCAGTTGGCCATCGTCAGGCTAAGAACATTCGAATATAAATAAAATGGAACAAAAATTTAAATACAAATAAAATAAAATAACGAGCGAAATATATATATAAATGTATAAAGAATAATAAAAGAAATAAAAATTATTGTTACAAATAACAAAAAAATGTATATGAAAAAATAAGCATAGGTTAATTAAATATTGAAACGTTATATAGAAATTTAGTGAAATGCACTTTATGCAAAAGAATATTAAAATCGCCGCAATAAATTAAGAGTCGTCCATTCGTTTGATAAAGTATTTCCAGGCCGATGGCAACCCTTCAGAATCTCTAGAATTGATGCATGAATCATGCAATTTGCTTTTATATATTTCAATTTTTTCTGCGCAATTCGCCAATGTCGTAGAATGTACTTTGTGCTGAA